CTAAATATGTAACTACTATATTCTACATCTCGGTAACGGCTTGTCTTTGCTCCAAACAAAAGACAGCGAGGCCCCGTCCACAGCTCCCATTCACCACAATGAGACATTTGAGCTCTTTCCTCCCTCCATATTTCACTCACTATCTCGACACCAAGTTGGCAGCGAGCGCGAGGCTCGTTGTTCAGCCGCCGGCTCCGAGGACGTAATGTGCGAGTTTCTCGCCGTCGCTTCCTTCCAGCCTGACAGGACGGGGGGGAAAAATTGCTTCCCTCTGCCACATTTTGCCGAGCAGTAACTCAAGAAGGTGTCCGCTAGAACAAACGTGAGGAGGAGGTAAATCAGAGAGATTAGTCCTGGCCTCCGGGTGAATTTATCCCGTACACGTCCTTCCTCGTATTTGCTCCGTTGCCCGTTGAAATCTGAGTGTGAGGCTCGTCTACCGCTTGGTTAGAGGCCGCGCGCGGGGTTCACGGCGAGCGGAGAAATGTCACGCTCACTCTGCATTAGCTGCATTTTTCACTCCCTTCCCTCCGCCCTCGTGCTGTTTCCTTTCACAAACAGAACGCGAGCTCGTACATCACTGCTGCACATTCCCAGTCACCAGAATCATTCGTCAGGCTTTGCTCTCGTCTTCTCCATCGCTGACAGACTCGCTGCGGCTCAATTTGACGGCGAATATTTCATGTGCAGTCCTGGTCAGACGGAAGCCGTCTTTTGATGAGCACATGGGTGTCGCTGCAGACACCATCCGGTCCTATTCTGAGGCTTTTACCCCTTAAAGAAGTGCACTCAGCATGTGACACTTATTAGAAAAGTGTAATGCAGACAATAACCTTTTATTTGGGCTTTCCGCAACCCTGTCTTTGAAATGAGAAGCTGCTTACATAGATTACTTCAAATTATTCCACTCTTACAAAACGCAAATGCTCCACTTCTAGTTCTATTTGAAGGTTCCTCTCCTTGTAAAGCAAGTTGGAGAAAGGTTGGAGAGAAGCGAGCAGTGAGCCTTGCGTTCCTGTGGTCGGTGAGGTCTAATCGCTGCATTCTGTCAGGGAGATGTAATCGCATTACGCCATTCGATGACGACTCTGGGGCCTAATTACCACCTACTTTGCAGATGCAGTGGAGTAATACTTAGACTCTCACACACACTTTGAATACGGATGCGCACGTAAAAATGAGCTTTCATGTGAGCGGTGTCTGTTTTGTGTTACTGACTTTGGTACCGTCACATCTACTGACCACGTGTCTCGACATCGGTGAGTGCTGGTGCACCTTGTCTCTGCCTTTTTAAAGATGACATATGTGGGGTTTATGAGAATAGATACATAAAAGCAAGCAATGACAGAGTGTTGATCAGGAAATACGGCCAGCATGCCGTGTTCACACGAACGAGAGCAAAGCAACTTTCCCTTTAAATGCTCACCGATAAAACTAGGAGCTCAGTTCTTTTAACCATCGACGCTGTTATTTATATACCGCTCCCTAAGACGAATTTTTGATGCAAATAGGCAAAATAAGGAAGTCTGTGTTTCGTCTTTGGGAAAGACCTCAAAACCATTTCAAACGCTACCAGAAATCCTCTTTTGCCCTTGAAATGGATTCTGAGCTTCATTCCCACTCGACAAAAAGCCCACTAACACCCACTAACACCTGGGCTCATTTTCAGTGGCAAAAGGTTACAATCTGCGTTCATTCTCAGGGCCGATTACTCTGCAGTAGTCAGGTGATGCTCTCATGTGAATGCACGATGAACCAATGAACAGCATGAAATGATTATGCACTCCAAGGACCATCGGGATCAATGACAGAAAACAGTTCATTCAATCTCGACAGGAACAAAAACTAAAAGAAAAATTGACCGTAACTGTCATTGTTTTACTAGCACTTCTGATTGGAAACTGAGGTTTTTCAAATAAATCACACTGCACAGAATCATTTTCACTGCAGAGTCCAGTCGTTTCTCTCTCTCTCTCTCTCTGGATTTGCCTTGTCAATCAATTCATTGTCCAGTTGCATATTTGTCGTCTGAACCAGAAGACATTCGCACAAAGTCTCGAGCTTCTTGTGGAGAGGAAGTCCAGCAATGACGCATTTGCCAGAATTTGGAACATAAAGGGACGTGTGTGTGTGCGCGTGGAGGCTGTTGCTGAATGTGTCACATTGGTGTGACTCCTGACCTCAACGCCGCTGGCGCTTTTAAGCGGACAACTGTAAATATTTTTAGTAACGTCAAACACTGTAGCCAGCCATTCAAGTTCCTTCCCTTAAATAGAAGTGCATTTCCTGTACCAACATTTCATAAACAGAACATATTTTACCCGAAAGATCGTTTGAAACTGACCAGATATATTCTCCACGGAAATAGCTCATTCTCTCATTTCTCACATGAGGCTGGCCTTGGAACGGAATGTATGAAATGCAGCAGGCTGAGAGCGTTTTGGGAGGAACACAGGTGTGCTCCTCCTCAGTCAGGAACGACGTAACAACCTCAGCAATCACATGGCAGCGGCCGTTGATAAATGAGGCAGAATCCAGTTTCCTCACCAGCAGTCTTAAGTACTGATACTGTCTTAATGACTTCTCGGTGAAGACAGATCCTCCTCATGCGTGCACTGGAATATGTTTCAGCATCTGCTTGACAACTTCCTGAAACAGTGTGTGGCGAGGGGGGGCGGGGCCTTCTGCCGCGTCCACAACCTGCCTCTGAGGTGAACCGGCACAGACAGGAACAGCAATAATTAATAACCACAAAAATCCCAGATAGTAAAAAAAAATAATGTAAAAAACGCTTTGCAGTCTTTCCAAGAACAGGGCAGGTCCGGGTAATAAGCATCTCAGCGATGGTGAGGACATCGCTGAAGAATGTTCTCCATTGGATGCACTCTAGTGATGTCACCCCCGCTGCATTTAATTCCCCCAGATGGCATGGAGATACATTGTGTGCCCTGCAAATCATCGAGACGAGGAAGGTCATGTTCTCAGCTACCGTGCTTTTTATTTCTACCCCCCCCCTCCATGCTTCCCTTAGAAATAGCGATTTCAACTTTTGTCATTACATCAGGTCAACAGGTTTCCTTTATGTCATCTGAGGGTTGTTTTCCTGGCGCTTCTTTGGTTTCTATGGCAAGTTCACAGCGATTGAACATCCTCATGAAGGCCCTGGTGCATTGAGCAAGCGTCATGACTAATGGAATACAGAAAATGACTGTGGATTTCTGTGGGAAAGTACACGCTTGTTGTAAAACACATCACATTGCTCTTTAATGGATGATTGGATTATTGATCTGTTAAACCTCAAACACAATCATGTTAATAAATACAAGTACCCAAAGTTTTGCAAGGATAGCGAAAACAAATGTGGACAAAATGTACATTTAGTGCAGGTTGTATTTTCTTCCTTTCAATGAGCCATTATAACTGTCAATTACAATGACGATGCAAAGATCTCATTAAAAATGTGAGACTTCCATCTAAAGAAACATGGATTCCGCAACACTAGACCCTTTAGCCTCTATTTTCCCTTCATGTAAAATGATCCCAGACCAGCTGGCTTTGTCAACACGAGGGCGCTGCATGCGTTTTACTGCCATGACATCACAGCATTCATGTCACCCGGACACATGGGCCTGCGGAGCTGCCGGGTGTAGCTTCACAGGGTAACGATAGCGGGAGGCTCGCCTTTCCACGCGGCCTCTGTGGGTTCAGCGCATCACGTGTCAACGTCAGCTGAACTCACACTGACTGCAGTCGGTGTGCTCCGAACCTCAGCGGGACTTAGGTTTGGTCATGCTGTGCGTGAAATCAGAGGATACAGATGGTCATAAAAGCAGTTTCTCTGCAGAAGAACAAAGTCGGGCAAAATGCACAGCGTGGCGTAGCTGTATGCAGCATGTGTGTGTGTGTGCGTGTGTGTGCACGCGCTGAAGGCATGCTTTGGGTAACATCTGTTAATGGTTAAAATTCCACCCCGGCTCTCACACCCCTGCTGTCTGCTGCTGCAGTACATGGCGCGTGATGACGAGGTCATTACTTCTTGGCGTCAATTATTCAGAGGGGAGCCGGGTTCATCCTCGGCCCCCCTGCACAGATGAACCTGCTTTGTGAGGGCTTCCAGGGTGAATCCTGCTAAGACGTAACGGCGGAATAGAAAGGGCTGCAGCATGAGAGAAGTCTAATTGTAGAGCTTGAGCGTGTGCTTCTAACATGGAGGAGGGGTTTCCTCTGGGTTTCTGCAGGATATAACTTTCCAGGACCCAGTAAAAGGAAAAGATTTACAGCTAATATGCATCCTACAGTAACGCACTCGTACTGCACGGGTTGAGACATGGCCGCCGGTCTGAGAACACAGAGAGCTGTTACAGTTTCCTCTTGAAAGTCAAAGTTACTGCCTTTTTTGGCGGGGGTCTAGCCTTGTGGAATAATGTCGTGAAGGAGTGCGGAGCACAACAGAAGCTGTTGCACAAACTGGAAAAACACAAAGACGATTTTCGTTGGAATAAATCAGCAGATACTGCACATCTTTCTACTTGCTGCTGCGTACTATTACTCATGCTTATGTCCGCTGTACAACTTAAAATACACCCTCAGCAACTGTTTCCATGGCATGGTGACTTCCTGCTGAACATGACGACTGATTGATGCTTCCCTGAGCTATTATAGCTTAGTTTTCCTCTTTTTTTTGTTCTCCCACTCTCACATAAATCTTTTGCCTTTTCTCACGCGGTAATTAGCTCGACGCTGGACGGGGGCCTATTTTTCGTGGCAGCCTGTCCTTCCTGACATGCCTGGTGACGCGGCGCAGACCGTCGTCACACAAGTCCGCCGGTCCAACTCAAACATTCTGCCGCGGCTAAAGGGCGATGATAGACGTTATGCGACGAGGAGTCGAGTGAGATAGTGCTGAAATCCGTCGAGACGGGTTTCCACCTCGGGGTTTAGCTGGCAATGTTAACGCCTGTCTTTTTTAGTGACTTCCTGCGGTCGACCCATACACCCACCTCTCGCGCTCCTGCTCCAGCAGGTTGGTGAAGTCGTCGCTCTTCTTCATGAACTCTCCATGGTTCCTCTTCTCGTCCTCAAGCTTGTACAGGGCCTGTTTGTGCGACTGCTCCACCATCAGCAGCTGCTCCAGCATCCGCCGGTGCGTCTCCCTCTGCTTCTCCACCAACTTGTCCAGCTGTGGGGGCGGCACGACACCTGTCACATCTGGACTGCTCTGTGTTAGTCCGACACAGACCCCATATGCGGTATCTTACCTCTACCATGGGCTTCTCGTAGATGTCCTCCTGGAAGATGTCCGCTTTGCCCTGGATGGCGTCCCTCTGCAGGGACTGCAGGACTGTCTGCGGCGTGACAAAGCCGTATTTGGCCTCCAGCAGGGCCATGTCCATTTTCTCGGCCTTCAGCACCGTGATCACCTCGTCCCTGGCCTGCAGTGTGGGAAGAGAGCTGGGTTTAGTTAGACTCCACTTTGTGAAACGGGACGGGAGTTGTTTCTGTGTGCTTTTGCCCGCTTTGCTTCTTGAATCTTGCGTCTTTAACCTCAGCGGCAAGCCAGACACGTTCCTATCATGCAATACTATGCTTGGTTTCTGGATCCAGTGCAGGAATGACAGGAAGTAGCCTCAGCTGTTGGCTGTCTGGTAACACAGGCTTTTAGTCTTTCTCAAATGCCCGCTGCCAAACAAGCCATTGCGTCTGACTCTGTGTCCGACTGGGACCAGTGCCACGTCTGCTGCTCCCACAGCCCGGCCATCTCTTCATTACCTGCAGCTCTCCCTCCAGCAGGCTCAGGAGAAAGACCAGGTCGTCTCGGGAAAGGTCCCCGCCCTTCTCCCTCCGACCGCCTTTTGCAGCTCCGCTGGTGCTGCTGCTCCCAGTCCCAGTCCCAGTCCCAGTCCCAGTGGCGCCAGCACAGGCGCCGTTCTTGGCCTTCTTGGGATTCCGCTGAATGGTGCCGGTGTCGTCCGGCGGCTCCCGCTGTCGGCTGCGGCGTTCAGCCCTCCCCGATGGCTCGTCCCGCTCTTCTGATCTCTTGCGTGTGTCCGCCGTTGCCTTGGTTACGTCCTCCGGACTGTTGCTGCGGGATCGCATGTTCACCTGTTGAAGGAATGTTCTTTATCCAGATTACTCTGAATCACACAAACACAACAAAAGATTTAAATCCATGACCTTTACTTTAAAGAACACTGAATACCATCAGATGCTCTTAAACTGCTACGTAAACTGTGGTGTTTGTTGCACGGATGCCACTTTTACTCAAACCGCTTCACTCATTAAGGTCTTTATATATATTACAAACTAACCTGACCACTCCCAAGAAATGAGAAACTGTGAGCACACAACTGTACTGAAAGCTCGAAAGGCACTAGAAGTGTTAAAGTGATGAAGTAGTGCTTTTACACCTTTAAACCCTCGTGCAGTTGGATCTCGTCATACTTGCTGATATAACCTATGCCGCCGTGCAGCTCAGCAGCGGGTCATCGCTGCTCATCGCGTCATCGTTGGTCACTCAGCAATAACGAGTCGTCGTGTTGAACAAGAAGCTTGAATGTGCTGCCGGTCTCTTTTTTAAACACAGGACGTTCAAGCTCTGTTGTCGTGAAGCATCCTCAGTTTTTCCATTTTCCGATAACTTGTCGTTATTTATTTATTTATGATAGAATGGCGGCTTGCATCAGTCCCGCCAAAGGATTTTGGTGCTGTGGTCTTATTTTGGACCCACTTTGTCTTTTCTCCAAATACGGAATTGTGGTCCGATGTGTTTAAGTCTGGAGAGTGATCGGAAGAAACTGCCAACAGCCGAGCAAATAAAAAGCATCATGGCTACCGACCAAGGTTAGTTTGGAGTGTACAGTGTGTGACATCTGCTTCATGAATGGGCCATTCAGTGACTCACTTATTCAGATAAAAGAAAAGACGATGAATAGAGCGACGCCGTAAGCTCCTTCGCCAAGTCATTTATGGCTTTTTCTTTTTTGAAGTAAATTTATTCAAAGAGCAGAGAAGGACTGGATTAAAACAGGCTGAGACACATTCGTATGAGTGTGATGTGAAAACAAATAATTGGACCAAAGCCATGCCATCATCCATCATCCATTCAGTTCAAAAGGTTCCTCCTCTGCCTAAAGAAAGAATTTCACAACAGGAACTGACTTCCTTGTAGTGATTGTCTAACAGACAACACAGAATAAGGTGTGCATATCAAATTCAATTATAAACTTTATAATGACTGAAACATCTAGTGGCTAACTAATAATGGCTTTGAAGGTGTAAAATATCTTCATCAACGTCGTTTTGAGAGTGATCTTCCTGCAGTAAAAGGAGAGCTTTTAGTTCTGTGGCTCGCGTGTCAGAACACTCGTCACATCAGGCAACTCAAAGACAACGAGGAACCGATTAAATCACCGATCTCAACTACTTCATAGTGGATACTTCTTCCAGCACTGCTGTGCAGGTCAATATTTTCAGCCTCGGCGCACGTCGCCTCCAATGCAACTTCAATTTCCCAATTGCACCTCAGAAACCGTGTGTGCGAGACTCCTGCAGTTTGTGCGCAGCCTCGTTGTGAGGCCCTCCGACAGTTTATGAGCAAGAACGACGGCTGAGTGATCGCATCGTGCGCACTCTCGGCTCAGCGCCACATGACTCCGAGCTGAGGTAATTCCCTGCAGCCTCAGACAGACTCCACACCGACTTACACAGAGATCGGGGTTACAGGCGATGGAGGGAACATCCAGTGTGTTTGTACAGATGTAGGGGATGGACATTCATATGATGTACAATGTGTAAAGAGCACAGAACAGGTTGTGTGTTTGTACCATTCCCTGTGTGTAACCTCCTGTGACTGCACTAGATACATAATTAAGTCAGCCATCAGTCACTCCTACACAACTGCAGCCGGTTTCCATGACACAGCAAACACACAGAGACGCTCACGCTGACGCACACATGAGTAAAAAGCTGGTGGGTGAAGATGCAGAACGGATCACAGACGCGTAACGCGACCTAGCTGGGAGTCTGACATGTATCGCGTATCTGCAAGATCTACAAGACGGATCAGAAATCAATATCACATCGAACCATGAACCGGTTCACCGAGAAGACGGCCCAATTAAACTGAATCGGTAGATAATAAACATTTTGATAGATAAACATTTTAACTGTCTAGACGTTTGTTTTACCGAACAAATCGAAATATAGCAACGGTGTAAACAGACCTCAGCGGCGCCAAATAAAAGCACAGCTTCAGCAAAGATGCAATTTGGAAATTTCCTCTGAGCATTCCTTTGGAGGAGGAGGCAGAAACACTGGCTCTTAAAATGCTTGTGTACGTTGTTCGCACATATTTTCTGCATGACTGCGTCGTTAATGTCGTCAGCTTGGTGAAGGTGTGAAGACGAAGATGCCTAAACGCAAAGTTAATTAGCCGCCATCTGTAGGGAAGAGACCTCGGGTGACTCCCACGAAGCCTTTTAGGAGATTACTTTAGTAGATTGAACCAATAGATATCCATGGTGGTGAAAACATTGTGTTTTTGGGAAGGTGCTTTTAGTTGGAAACGGTATTGACACATTTCAGTATTTCTCATTTAAGGCGATCATGTTTGTACCTGTTCTTCTGAAGCAATATCGATGCATCATGATCTCTGTTGAAGGATCGAGGGGCTGTTTGACATGTGTGAAAAGGCCCAGAGATGACTTAACCAGGCATGGTAATCCCATCCAGCCAGTGTCAGGCGTCTTTGTCATCATTTTTCATTCTGTTAGCGGGGATCCGTGCCAGAAGGTGATGTTATGATTAACAGGTGCTCGCATCTCGTACGAGGGACTGTGGCTGTTAAGCCAACACGTTGAAGAGAATCATTCAAGCACGAGCATGACAAACACAGGGGGAGGATTAATGAGGTATTCTTTTGGTTCAACGGCCCCTTTGACATTTCATTTTCGATGTGCATATATTTATACACAGACTGTGTGCTTTTCTCAAGGATCTGAGTTTTTGCAAGACAACGCTTGAGGCAAAGCAGCTCTTTCTGATTTATCCAAACTGCCGCCATGCTAGCGGGCTGCGCAACGCTCACAGTGGCATTGGCATTTGATAACACAAAAGGCTGGTGGAAATTCTGTCGTAAGCTGAAGAATCGTACAATTTCTCATGTTGGCCGGATGATGCCGCTGGATGAAAAGTCAGAGGATCACTTGAGTTCGTTGGGAGTCATCCTCTCAGCAACATGAATGTTTGCACAAGCTTTCCCGGCAATTTATCCAATAGTTGTTAAAATATTTAATTCCGGGCCAAAGTGGTGAACCACTGCCATCCCCAGAGCTACACTGAAAATTAGCGTTATTAATAGAAAAACAGCTTATTCATTCATAAGCCCCCACCACCCCCTTTCCCTGAGGCCCTTCCATTACCTTGTCCTCTCATTAGGCAGTCAGGACATTGTCCGAAGCCAAAAGCAAAACTGTTACTGGAAAGGGTTGGCAGTTTAGACTCGTCTAGCCGAGACCACCATGGTTTCTTCGGCAAGCTACCGGGTCAAAAGGCTCTTTCATTCAAAGAGTTTTTACGCAATAAACTGAGCGAGTCAGCCGGTCGCTGGCTCGTAAAACCCTCACGAAGTCTGTAACAGCCACCGAGTCCTTTTATCACACAGCTGAACTCTGCAGGAAGAGATAACGCCTTTTAGATCGGTTCTGTTGGGACTCACAATCTGTTCCAGTGCCACACACATACACGCATAAAAAAACTTTCCCAGATGTTATTCAAACTTTGTCAGTGCACTCTTAGCGCTCGCTGTAAAACAAGGCGGCGATGACTTCACTGCAGAGGGAGGCTCGCTTATGTGAGGAAGGTGAAAGGTGAGCAAGCAGGTGTGCTTCAAAAAATACACCTCTTGCCTCTTTTCTCCCCCACGCACACCTACAATGAAACACACACGCACATCCAAACAGGAGCCTGTGTGGTCAGTAACGCACCGCACATAAGCACGCACACACACAGACACACACCGCTGCAGAGATTACAGAGTGAATTCCCGCAGCCTGACATCATGCTGCTGTCAACGTGATTGAGGGGGAAAGGAACGCGCATCAAAAGAGAGCAGAGAAGGGGGGAGAGAGGGGAGGGGAAGATGGAGGAGCCGCATGCAGCGTGGCTGTACGCAAAGTGTCCACTACATCAACACTCGAGATGAGACCTAATGTCAGCATTTAATGCTTCTCGGGTGGCATGAGTGGATTATGCAACGTCTGTAAAACCTTTTCGAAATCCCAGTGTGAGACGCTATTGACCAGCAGTAAGAGGAGCTTGTGTATGTTCTTCTTCAGCACCTGTGGAGAAATATAGCAGGACGGTCGGAGAGGAGCACGCCGAGCCGGAGGCGTTTCCACCCCCTGGCCTAAACAACGCGTTTACAAACAGAGCGTGGGTCGCCGCAGCAACAGGTAGCGATCAGCCTCCGGGCCTTCGACCGAGGGGCCATGAAGCCGTCGGAGAGGTTTCCTGTGAATGTTCGACTGTTCTGGGCCGTAAAGCGAACACGAGAAGCGGTTTGGGAATCGCTCTGGTCCTCGGACGTCCACAGCCAACCAACCGAGCTCGTAGTCGTTAATATGCCCGCGTGGAGAAAACGCCGTCACGGCGTCCTCTCCGCTAGATGATGCAATCCCAGGAAATAGTTGGACCGGCCACAAACGTTAACAGCGTCAACTTTGCACATTTCCCCCATGTCTCAGAGGCGGGATCGTGTTCAGTAACAGTACTTCCACTGTGCAAGAGAGAGGCCTTCCAGCTGGACATGAAGCGACCATAAAACATTTAGCTCGTGCATGTGAAAGGGGCGGATTCGTGCCAGGAGTTGTCTTAACACAACGTGATGTGCGTGTCATGGGGAGAATGGGTTGTTGAGTGATCTCTTGTGGTATAAGAACATCTTCACCAGGGGGCGCCATGTTTCCATTAAAACGTCTAAACTATTCAGTCGGTAAAGGTTCCGTATGTGCAGAAATAAGTCAACAGAGATACGATACGATGGGAAGAGGGAGCATTGAATATTCCAAGTGATGAGTACAGCTGATGTTTAGGTGGAGATCAAA